GTATTCCTGCATCTTCCTCTCTATGAACTGGAAGAGATGGCCCAAGTGCTTAGAGCGTGAATTTACTGACCGGAAGGTTCGTGGTTCGAATCCGACCTCCGCCACTCGACTTCCCCTGTCTAGGCTTGGGCAACCTGGCAGTATCCTACCCCTCGTGCTTCCTTCGGGTGGCATGGCAGTTAGGCACCGGAAGGGTGCTATAGCTGAATGTTTTCTTTTTTCTTTCTGAACTAATAATTGGTTAGATTTCTTTTTGGCAGTGGTATGGTTGAATTTTTAGGTCTGGCTTGTTCTTGGATATCTACTGGAGTTCTTGCTTGGTCCTACTGTTTCTCCAACTCCTAGCTAGCTTACTGGGAGTGAGAATGAGACGCTGGATGTACAGATTGATTCAGTTCTTCGCCTTGCATTTTGTCAGTGCTGCGCATTTTATCATTTTAGGCCGAGAGTGCACACGCTCTTATCATTGGCTTGTTTGTTTAACATGACTAGAAGGAAAGCGGTCGTATTCAATGACCCTTGGATGGACTTGTTTCACAAGTACTTGTTACTATCTGTTCATTCAGATACGAACTGACTGAACGCCTGGTTTAATCCTAATGGTATCTACAGCGTTCGCCATTTGCGTGTCTCTCATAGCGAATGTGCTGTCTGATGTAGCGTCGTCATCTTTTACACAGAATCTCACGTAATATTCGTTTTGTTACATTGCACGCATCCAAATTTCTAGAGCACTTACTCGTGGTTTGTGGTCACAGGATCCCCAAAACTACGTTTCGCCCTCTAATATCTGTCAAATATTTTAGTTCGTGTTCCTGGGTTTCATTTATTCGGATGTCCTTCATTGTTCCGAAAGTCATGATGGTCCAAGTTGCATTTCTGTCTTTTGGTCGTTCATAAATCCTACAGTGACATTGATAGCTCATTGTATCTCGGTTAGAGCTGTTTTTTTATACGAAAGATACCCGTTGATAGCTCGCATCTATGGACATATTTGCTAATTAATGACAGACATAGCTGAAACCTGTCTCAATCCCTCGTTCACGATATTCTCCAGTTGAATATGCTGCACAAAGACCCTCCTCATCAGACAGACAGTCCCCGAGAAAAGCGAAATCCGTAGTCTACATCAACCTTGTTAGTTGATAGGTACGTACAGGTTGGATGTGGGGTATACATTGAATAGGTCAGCTAACGTAAGTAGCTATGAATTTTGAGACGTCTCTCTTGTACATAGAAGGATAGACAGGTGTTCATCGTTTCGATGACAAGATAGTAGACAGCGCACAATGTGGTATGGTAGTATGGGGTGGATTACCGCCTATTACCTGTCCGAAAGTCGGTTGTCGAAATATAGAATCTAGGTCTAGGAGTATTTACACGTGGTGCAGTCCATAAAGGGTAGTAGCCGCTCCTAATTACTTTTGCGCGTGGTTTTCCTCATATAGTTGGGACATTCTGGCCCCATAAATGATGGCATTTCCCACATGTGTAGTTATCCATGAAGTGTGGTGGTAGAGTATGGAATAAGTTCCGTATTCAATGGTCTAAATGATCTAATGGTTCATATGAATTCTGAGGCGCCATTTTACTGTCTACCGGTGAACACTGCTGCTTTCGAAGTACCGTTGTTTTCCATGTTATTATCAGACCTGGCTTGAACAAGAAGTACGAAAAACCCGAGCGTTGTTGATGGTGTTAGCCTGGCATTCTTTTCGCGCTACACTGCGACCCCGCATTATGCGTGCTGTTGAATAACAACTGAATAAATCGTTCAGCTGCGGCACCCTTTCTGCGCGTCGCTGCCATACAATCCAAAGGAAGCACGGGGCTTGAGATGCTGTTCCTCTTAGCCTCTATCTAGGTCACTTGACTATGGCTCGCAATGAGTCTCTTCTTTGGTGCGTTGTTTCTCCTTTAACAAGGCACTTCCTTAACTAAAGCAGCTTCGAAGCACCAGTGGTTAACGTTGGTGTTTGGATCAATGTTGATGGTTTTTGGGTTGCAGGGGACGCCAACCCATATCGTAAGCTCCGAATGAGCTCTGATTACCCAGTCTTCGGTTTTCATTTTTGTTGGTCGTGTGGGTTTTGCTCGGATGTCTGGGAATTGGTGGTGACAGATTCGGTCCTATCGCACTGGCCGTGGATTTGTATAAAATGCGTTCTAGTCGCCTTTCACTTTGACAAATCATCGTGAAAGCTAATGAGTCGGATGTTTTATGACTTTCTCGACAGTGCACGCCTACTAGTATGTAGTATGTCTTGGAAATTATGAGAGCGTAGCAGCCCCGACAACCTACCACGGACGGATTAACTGTCAGGACCTCCGCTGATTAGTCTCTCTGTCCAGAGCATTGAAGCTTCGGAAACTATGTTTGAAAGTAAACCATTTCCGATATTTAGAGAGTACTGTCGATGGTGGCGAACCTACGGACGCCGTTTGAACGCTCACGATCAAGCAAGCTGTTCACTTAAGTATTTGGCTCATCTTAACGTGAATGCTGGTCATGCATTCAAAGTCCCTCTTCATCCACCACCTTCCGATTCGTTTCGTACATGAGAATGAATTCCCAAACTACGACTCAGGTGTGTGATGACCAAAGCACGCATATTTCTCACTAAAATCTCAGGTGATCTTTCTGTATATTGGTCCACAGTATCAGTGATTCCATCCTGATTGTTGTGGCCTATCACACAGTGTTGGCACATAAACTCACCAAAGCACATGCCTAATGAAACTAGGCTTATTGGGTCGCTGATGAAACTGAAAGAGACTGGACCTTATCGTGGTGCATTGGCTTGTATACCTTGGCGAGCCATTGAGTCATTCTTGGATGGAGTTCTGACAAACATGGCCTCCTGGTCCTCCAGGTCGAGTTTGGATTAAGTTCCTTAAATTCGGCCGACTGCTGTAGCTTGGAACGAAACAAGGGTTTGCGGTCAGCGTTGGAGTCAAAGGCTTTCATTCAGCGCTCCAGTCGTCTTATATGGGCTTGGGCGTCGTGAAGTATCCCAGCCTTCTTTCAGCAATGAATTATGCAAAGAAAAGTTTTTTTGAGAATCTGCTGTTGGCCTCACTCAGGTATACAGCAAGGCGGACAAGCGAAAACACATAACTGGCAAAACCTCTCATATTTCCTCCCGTTATTCTCTCTTAACTCTCCTCTTACCCCATTTGCTGTTCATTCTTCTGAAAATTCACTATGCGGTTATGCACCGGCTAAAGTGTCCGGTTGCATGCCACTGCTCGTTGCGGATTAATTTTCGTTGACGTGAGCTCGTCTCTTCGTTTTTGTTGCACCAAGGAGAGTTGAGATATTATTTTATTCACTGGGGTCTTCGATGCACGTGTAGGGTCCCTCAGTTAGTGAAAGTCACGACCCAGCGGCATGTTTAGTTAGACGCAAGATGTAATGATTGTGAGCGTCTCTTGCGGATTCCTCCCGACCTAAAGCTGCTCCACCTTGACGTGATGGTTGGGCTCTTACGGTGCAGTGATCCTGCTGGTTATCATGGCTTGAACTTCGTTCCTCAAGATGTAACCATGCCAGGAAAGCCAACGCGATGCAATCAGACTAGAGACCTCGTACTACGAGTAATCGTGCTACTAATCGGTCTAGAGGTATAGTCGTACTGTCGTCTGCGATAGTAGTGTGAAGACAGTAAGGCGTTTCTTCCAGGTGACAGCATGTCCACATTTATGAAAGCAGCGATGCTACCTTCCCCCCGAGGAAGGACGAGTTAGAAAGGTTGGCCCTATAAATCGCATACCCGCCCGGCGATTTACCGTGACCGCTGACGCATTATTCTACGCCGTTGATATACTTTTAAAACCAAGGAGTCAACCATACCGGTAAAGCTGAAAGCGCGTATGGTGACCGGTCTGAACACTCTGCCCTAGACGGAACTTCCTTGTGCGTTTTGACTTCAAAGTATAGCTTCAGAATTCTCTTCCCCCTGTATTGCAATAAAATCCTACGGTTAAGAACTTGAATTTGTTGAGCAGTCTACTTATATGAGTAGCTGTGTAAGTCGTCACTCTACATTGACGGAAGTCGGTTCAGTGCTTGTGAAGTTGCGTCGTTTATGGCGTCAGAAACGACTTTCGCTGTGGACAGTGCAATGTGCATATGTTACTTGTAAAAGCAGTCTATAGGTGTTGACCCCTCTAATCTGAGGACCTTAAATGTTCCAAACGTTTGGTAGTCGGTGCCTTCTGGGGATAACGCGTTAGCTCACTGCCGCCTTTATAATGAACTAGAGGGATTGATCATGACCAGAACACAAAACCTATCCATGTACATATTCGCAATGCACTACTCATAAGGTTGCTGAAAATCCGCCGACAACCCACGACCGGTTTCGCCATCATCATCAGATAGGCTAAAACCTATCCAGTTTATCTGGTTTGGACATGTACCACCGTATATCAACAATGGCGCCGTTTTCTACTTAAGTTGTTGACGAAGCGTTCACGGGTGCAGGCTATGGCTTGTTAACATCAAACGGATGCGGCTACTGTACTGCGGGATTTTCGCGCCCTCCTATTCTGGTTCACCGGTTTCCTCCCGCGCTCAGCTGGAAACCCTATGGGACGTGGCACATGACCCGATCCAGTTTCGATCATACAATCAATTCCTAGCCGAACTGACTACCCAAAGTGTGTTTGTCGTGGTACGCAGATGAGGTTTCCCAGGGGACATTGAGCAAATTCGACTGGTAGTGGGCTCGTTTCGTTGATATTCCAAGGTTTGGACTCTTTCTTGATAATTTTTTATAGAGACGAGACTGTTTGTACCAATTTTTCAGTTCCTCCAGTCATCTCTCTGCTCATTCTTCCTCCTGGTTTAAGGACGGTATCTATTTTGCTACGAATGATGACAATGGTGGTGATAGCATTTCAATTGTTTTTTGGAATGCTTTGATGTGCACATTTATTGCCAATAATTATTTTCTATCATTCACGTCTTACTCCTCCGTTCATCTATACATTTACAGCCAGATAACATCCTACTTCGACAACCGTATCCCGATTGTGATATCGTCCTCTGTGATTTTGGTTTGTCCAAGTTCCTGAGCCAAGAGAAAGTGACTCGTGACTTGGTAGGCACTCCTGACTACGCTGGTAAGTTTATCAAGTCACTCGACTTGTTCGACTGTTCGATACATTCGTAGTTACACATCCAGCGTGCTGTTTTTCATTCTGTAGGTAGGTGGATCTCTAGCCAATGCTGGTAATTCCACTGGCCAATTCTCAGTTTTTTACCCTGTTACATTATTCATCAGTTCTGAAAGCATTCAGTTACCTGCATGTAGGTGTCAGACACCCCCTACTTCCCCGAGCAATTGTTGGTGCCAAATTTATTGGCGAAAACGCAGTTTCCATCCCCACTCAATACGATTTTCCGGTGCTCAGTTTGCACATCCCGTTTACCAAAATGTCTTTCACATGATCAAACAACCGCTTGTCAGTAGCGGGTTAGAAGGCTTTTTTTGATACGTTTCTGTCAAAGAATGTATAGTAATTCTAGTATAGCATGAGAATATTTTCGTTGGACCGCACCGCAGATCATATGGTTTCGGAGGCACTACTATTGGGCACGTGACAAGCGTGGAGTTGTGCGTATATTGCAGTGATGTATGACCGCCTTGTTTATCGGCCCTTTTTCAGCTACACTTCTCGGTTTTAACATAGATGGTCTATTTGGGACGGTTTAGGTTGTTAACCTTAGTAGATTCGGTGGAAGGAATAGGAAACCATGAGCTATTTGTTAACTGGATAGGCATCCCCGCAGCTTTGGGACAGCGCTGTAAGAAATCAGTTGTAGCTTGATGAATTCCTTTTCTGAGGTTTACAGCGTTTTTGCTTCGGAAACGATCGTTCAAAATATCCTTTGCCACTCCAAATTGATTGGACGTCTTTTGACTGCAGAGAATGCACCCCACTCATCTTACAGATTCCGACAAGAATGGTTCTTTTGCCTTGAAAGTCGCTCAATCTACTTCACAATTCCTCACTCATTGTTACTGATAGATCTTCACGATGTTTGGGGACCAACCAAATCAAACAGAGCGTTATGTGATGAGCACTCTCCCACAGCTTACATATTTATTGAGTCCCAAAGCCCTTCGAGAGGATTGAGTTTCAGGGAATCATGCCATTGCTGCGAAATTCCAACTGAGGTTTATTTCTGTAGGTAAAGCTGAGAAAGACTGATTCATCTTTATTATGCCACTAATTTTATTACCCGAACGATTGAATTCGATCTTTTTTGTTGCATGAGACCAGGTTTTAGTCTGAACTAGGCGACTTCCAGCAATCTTCTTGCACTACTCCTAAAGCAACTAAACTTCAATATCTTGAATAGCGGTGCAATTGAACCCTGAAGCAGAATTTGAAGGATCTGTTTGAAGCTTATTTGAAACTGACGTCCTTACACAATGCAAACAAAATGTTTAGTAAACTGGTTATACCGCGTTCATCGCCCAACTTTTGCCCTATTTTATCATCCAGGTGCATTTTACATATTCATCCACACTGTTTCTCGTCAGTGGTCTCAACAGTTGAAAATGAGTTCACGCTGCCTTTCAGGAATTCGAATGTCATCGTCGGCGGTATAACATCAGTGTCCAATACACTGATACTTCGCTGTTATGCCGATGTTGAAAGGGTGTAATGCGGTCACTTATCTGTCAACCTTGTTAACGCTTCTGGTGGAATCAGCACGAAGGAGCCGATCTCACTATCGATTTATCCTGTTTTCTTTCGTCATCCTTTCTTATCGACTTGTCTGGGGTTGATTTTCTGAAGGGGACGAGATGGCCGAAGTGGTTAGAGCGCGGATTACTAACCTGAAGGTCCGCGGTTCGAATCCGACCTCCGCCACTCGACTTCCCCTGTCTAGGCTTGCGCAACCTGGCAGTATCCCAGCCCTCGTGCTTCCATCGGGTGGCATGGCAGCTAGGCACCGGAAGGGTGCTACAGCCGAACGCTTTATCTTTTTTTTAAATCTTTTTCTGAAGGTGTCTGGTCTTCTAATCCTTGTATCAGGGGTCTATTTTTTTCCAACTCAACCGATATCGTAAAGGGTTCGGTCTGCATCAGTATTAGCCTGTCCATCCCCACTTTACGGTAAGCCGTGACTTGCATGACACTACATATCTTGTTGGGCGGACGTTCTTGTAGGGTATTCGAAGTGCCTGTTGTCTTTGAATTATCAGCCTATTTTGCAGGCAACCTCTGTCTATACTCAATTCCTTTGTTATTCACAGTTGTGTATTTCTGAGGCCTGGTATCACGTGCGTCATGTGAGAGACATTTTAGCTTTGCGAGCCTCCTAAGCAACACTGCCATTGGAACTCGTGTGGTGTTTTTTTAGATTTCATGATAGATGTGAATGTCATTCTGGAATTCACTACTCCCTGTGGCATTACTAATGATTGCGGTCTGCGGCTGCTTATCCAAAATACCTGTGTGTTGTTCATCCTGCATTATCAAATCAGTGTATGGCAAAGTTTCCCGTCGAGTCCTCCGAAAAGGAGAAAATGTTTGGATGGTCTGTAAAACGCTTCTGGAACTTAGGTCTGGAGGCATTGGTCAACAGCTCCGATGACACGATCTGTGTTATGGATAAGAGCTGTTCCGATCTGTAGCCTTATGCTTGTGTGTTGGTTGTTATGGCTGCAAGGTCTCCACTAGGCGCTTTCTGATGGGATAAAGCTCTGCTAACATTGCGATCGTTGATCAAAGCAATGTTCTTCAACCACAGTTTCAATTTTTTAAGTAGTCAGGCGGATCAATTGACGAATCCTAGCGCACACGCGAGGGGTTGCATGCTTGTTGTGTGAGCATTCATACGACCCCTTGTTTCTTGATGAGGTTGCTAAAAATTCGTCCACTTCGTTAGCCCCCCTAAACGGTATATTCATCAAGAAAAAGTGTCTCGGTTTCTTGAACATCAGCGTCATTGAAATGGTATTTTCGCAGCCTAAGGATTACGTGAGCGGGATATTCGTTCGAACCTCACATTGCAAATTAGTTTTGGACCCCGATGTCGATTCTTTTGCTGTGATTTGAGGTCACTGTTCATCCATCGGCTGTTCGTTATTTCCAACTTTCCGCCGTTTGCGCTGAATTAGTAACCAACAAACAAGTCACGGAAACCGAATGAGGAAGTAAAACATGTATAAAAACGGATCACTAAATAATTGGACCAAGGTTAATGGACAAGACTTCCGTTATTTCTGGATTCCTGTGTCAATAATGTTGGCTACCGCGTTCAGTGCCTAGTCATCCACTTCTAATTCTCAGATCCTCGGTGGACGAAACTTTGGCATTTAGGACAGTGTGTACGTAGGGAACAGAAAGGGCAGAAACCAACCATTTGCCACAAGCTCCAACATGGTGGAGTCTCTGAATTGTTCTACTATTAACATACTTTGTTTATCGCGACTTTTTTCTGTTTTATTTTGGTCTGAATAGAAGCTTTAATATCCTTTGAAGACTGCCCTTTGGTATTCTTTCAGTGTATAACTGCAGTTCCGCCCGAATTCAACCAACTTATTGACCGAAATTACTAAATCTATAACTTAATCCTTACGGAATGCGCTAACAGTATTTACGGCAGTGGAGTATCAGTGTTGAACACTGATGCGATGCTGTCGATGATGATAACAAAGTATTTGATAAACGGAGTAACACCAACATTTGGAAGAGGGTTTTCCCCACATTCAGGACCCCCAATTAGATTTAGTTAATGTGATCCATCGGACGGTGCTTTCTGCTTCCGTTATACCCGTTTTACACTTTTTGGTAAGCAGTGACCGAAAATCAGAAGTATGATACACTTTCTGATTACAGCAGTTGGCTCCACCACGCTTTATCTTTTAGAAAATATTTACATCCTCCTTTCTTCAACTCACTAATCTTTCGACTCCCACCAAGTGGTTATCGGTCCCGGTTACTTAGATCCACCTACTTTCGTGAAGTCGACCGTCTGGATCGCCTGAATGTAACATCCTTTTCCTCTTCTTAAATGATAAAATTTGTGGGTACGGAGTAAACTTTGTTGAATCCAATTTGCATTTCACCGTGGCGATGATTCCTAATGTTCCTGGAAGAAGCGGCTTTTGTCATCATCGGTACTTCGCTCGTTCGTCTTGTAACATTGGTTTAACTGCGCCTAGTTTCTCCAAAAACGAATCAGTCGCTGCTACTGATATTTCGCCAGAAATTACTGAAGCACAGTGTTTGAGAATGATGAGGATCCTTAAGGTTACACTTTCAGGGCAATTTCGTTCAGCCGTAGCACCCTTTCGGTGTCTAAATGCCATGCCACACGAAGGAGGCACGAGTGGGATACTGCTGGGATACTGCCAAGTCGCCCAAGCCTAGACAGGGGAAGTCGAGAGGCAGAGATCGGGTTCGAACCACGGACGTTCCGGTCAGTAAATAGCACTCTAACCACTTGGTCCATGTCGCCCGTTTCACGTAGATTCCGTACCGTAACTGAAGTCAATCTCTATTGTAAAGCTAAGAAGCACTGTAGAACTGTTTACTCCTTATTGGGAGTCATCGGCAGCGCGCATCTCACATAACTCAATGGAGTTCCGAACCCGTAACCTCCTGTCTCTTCTTTTAGACATACTTTTAGATATACTATTCTGAGAAGCTGTTAAACACTACAGCCATTTCATGTGGCGGGGTAGCGATGCTTGTCGTAAAATGTTTTTGCAGGTTCGAGACCTAGCCTTGACGTAGGATGGCTGTTAAAGGTATAGCAAAGGTGGACCATAAGTTCAACTGAAGAATGTTTACTCAAACAAGGAGATAACACTATCGGGCTTGGAAGAGCCAGCGTCGAAGCGGACTAGATGGGATAACTTAACTTTGCGTGATAAAGTCGAAATTCCAATGTGATAATAGCGCCACGACCGTCTTACTCGTCACCTTCAGTTGATCTTGAATGGAACGAATGTTACAAGTCGACAAAGCTTCGGCAGTGAATCAGGTGGAGTTGGGAAAAGTCACGTCCATGAACTATGCACGGGTAACCATGTTGAGTTTAAACACGCTGGAACTAACTTGGTTTGAGTCATTGCTTTCCGGTTAGATTGATAATTGTATGTAGCTCTATTGTAGCCGTTCCACAATGCTCACTAATCCGCGATGATGTGGGCTATTCCCTTGTTTGATTTGGCGACCTTTTATGGCATATTGTTTTGTGGACTTTTGGAAATCTTGAAAACGTGTCTATTAGCTTCTCCATAGTTTTGGTAATTCGGTGAACTGAACTTCGCTGTAATGCCTGACTTGTTCACAGTGAGCTTCGTAGCCTTTGAGATTAAGTGGCTGCCTCCTGACCGGAGGGTCTACGGTTTCGTTGCTCCCGTCTGGCACTGGATGAGCCCTCGTAGTTCCTTTGGGTTACATGACAGCAACGCAACAGTTAGATGATTTATCTCGATGCTTCCGGCCTTTTCGCTAATCAAACATCTGAATTACTCTTTCAATAAAATAGCGTACGTGGCATCACTTACCCCAATCCTGCAATGGCCTGCAGCTATTGGGCATGAAAGCGTGTTTACATCAAGGGTTACAAGGAGTTGCTAGGACATGTATTCAATGATTGTGGTGCTTTGAATCCTTCAAACTATTATTCATTTTTAATCGCAATTGACCCGAATTATAACTTTATGTTCGACCATCTCAGCGTTATATTTTTGGATTGCTCGTAACCGTTCGTTCCCCAATCTCCAGTGTATGCCGAGCGCTAATTTTGCGTGACTCTTGCCCCATACTCTCGCATATGAGTGTTTAAGAATGCCTTACAGTAGTGTGAAGTTTCTTTATGTTTGTGTGCCCCTAAACGGCCGTCCACTTATGTGGTTACATTCCATTTGGTGGTGAAATGGTGGTGCTTTGCACAGCTGTGTTCAGGGCGACCAACCTAACACATACCATCACGACCGTTTGTTGATTATCCTCCTCTAACACGACCTGTCCTTGTGCATTCTTAAGGAGTTCGGTCGCTATTGATGTTCATGCGTTGCCGTCGTTCTTTCTAAGGTCGATCGTTTACGTTCGGTTTTCTCCACACGCCTGAGGTTCCCCGACAAACCACTCAGTGTTTCCTACTAAACTATTTCTTATGTGGGTTTCATCGGATATTCTTCAGTTTCCATCTTCACTCCTAATTATGTTGGTGTTGCGGTCATCCTCTTTTAGCACCACTCTTGATGACTGGCAACGTTTTTTTGCAAGCTAGATGTTGCGCAAAATGTTGATCTTTTCTGAAAACAGATTACAAGACCCTGCATTGATCTGTGTGACTCCTTCACATGCTCTTCTTTCCGCATGATACGTAGTACTTCGTATAAAATGTTATCCGTCTGCTTTGTTGTACTCACCTGAACGGCGACTGTTGACCAAGTGGACCTTCGAAGTTTTTGAAATGTTCAGGATAACGACACAGCAAACAAGTACTGTTTTTGCACGTGGTCCTCAGGCACAGTATAAATGAATGTAGTACCTAAGAGGGAAGGTCATTTAGAAATGGAAAAACTAAGGATTCGCTGTTTGGCAGTAAGTCGCATTGTAATCGCTACTTGAAAGTTGTAAAACAGAGGTCATGGGCGTTGGTTTGTTCGCCGATTCGGGCAATTTGGTTGCAAGCTTTTTATCACCAGTCGGGGTGGCATCAATTCCTTGTGAGTGGAAGTACGCTGAGGTCCGAAGTGCGTTGATTGATATAGGGTCTACTCACCCAAGTCAAACTTGATCGATCATTGGTTGTTTGAATAAGCATTCCTATTGACTTTTTGATTGACCTATCTTCTTATTGGTGGGTGTCTTGGCCCCTCCGGCTCCTCCCTGACCTTTGTTTTCCTCCACATTGGGTCCCGTTTCATGGTTCATCGGTTTTGGTGGCCGAGGTTGACCAAGTGCTACCGTGAAGTTGGTGGTCCCTCGCTCGTAGCGATGCACGGACAGGGTTGATTTCGAACCAGCAAGCGAACAAACCAGCGGCCATCATTACAACGTGAGCTCCCAATATTCAAATAATATGCTAACAGATGTCATCGTTAGCCATCACAAAATCGAGCATCTGTCCAGGATGGCCACGGTTTCCAGTCAGCTGAGCCTGAACTTCCGTGCGAATTCAACAACAATAACAAAGAGGGACAGTCACAGACATGCTGCCTTGGAGCATTTGGAAATGCGGCATGTGGGTTGACGAGATCTAACTGACAGCTTCGCCATCCTTGCATCTAGCGAATGGCAACAGTTAGCTACACATACTTCTCAACTTCGGCTCACTTATTGGTTAGCGTTTCCTTCAATGCACAAATGCATTCAGTTTCCTATGTTGTTCATCAAGTAGACGTCTTTCCGATCGTTGCAGTGGCCCTTGGACTGTAGCACTACACAAGTCGGTCTTGTTGAACTAGGTTTTTTTGTCTGTCAGTCCCTCTCCTCGGGCAGCCTGTTCGTACGATCGATCAACTCTACTATGAACAAGTTATGACTTGTCCTTAGAATAGTTTGGAATTTTGTACTTTTCAGTACCCTAGTAGGTGTTGTGAATGAGGAAGTCTGAAAAAAAATTTGTTCAGTGTCCTGTGCCATGTTACAGTTCTAACGTAATGTTACCACTGCCGCTGCTTCAAGCCTGTTTCATGATTCCACCTCTACTGTTTTCCCGTTTTACCTTTAGCCCCCGAAATCCTGGATTATAATCCCATTCACTTGACAACCGATATTTGGTGAGTTTGGCAGACATTCGTGGTATGCAGTAGTCACGCTGTTGATAAGTTCATTCCTTTTACCGTCGGTGCCGACATACTCGATTAACCCACCTTTCTGTCAATTTTCTGTATGTTCTGTGGTGAATCACCAACCGATGTTTTGATCAAAAGTGCCTTGTCGGTATGCCCCACTTCAGCTTCATCGTTGACCCCTGGTGGGTTCTGACAGAGCCTTGTGTCTAACAATTAGATGAATTTTTCTGCGTTGGAGTCATTATTCCGGCAGCTTGATTGGCTTGTCTTATGAGTTTCCAGATCGAATTGTTTGGGGGTCAACTAATGTATTCGGGCTGGTCGGTCGTTCTTAGACTGAGATTCCTCCTTTTCGGCTTCATGTACAGAGCGGAATATTAAATGATAATTAAATGATAATCTGTAAGTAGTACAGAAGAAAGAATTCACACGATGAGTGAAGCTTTCAACTGAAAAGTTGTCATTTGTTGAGGCACTTGGTGCGTTACCGGTACGTGATATCGATTTCGTGATTGCAGAATGAGTGAAGCTATATCCTGTCTGAGCGCGAGCTAATCACACTACTGATTAGCCACTTTTGACCGAACTTGTAAGTGTCCAAACTACTAGCCGGGTGGTTGCGAGTACGAAACTCAATGGAGTTTACTGAGCCTTCTAACGATTCCCGATAAGGATGAAACAGCTGTACAATGTTTCTTGGCTTTGGATTGGCCATAGACAAAATCTCAATTGAAAATTCCCAAATCTCCTAACACTACTAACATTCCTAGACTATCGGCTAGCCAACACACCCAACTTCTGTTTCCTTCACTTCACGCCGTCGCACTTGCCTCAGAGTTCTGCTGATAAATCTGTCGCAGTTTTTTAAATTGTTGCGTAGAGAATGGGGCAGAGCTGAATTGTTGAACCGACACCGAACTCTTGACACCTCCATCAGTTGGTGTGTGGTTATTTTTTGTCGCAGACTTTACTTCGCACTGATGGTTTTGAAACCATTTCCCTAGATTCAAAAGTCCCTCGTGGTTTTTTCTGAAATCTTTGTAACTTATGTGCCGAATCTCGTCCTGCGTTGCTGCCTGTAGGTGCAGGAGAGCACTAGGGCAAAGCAGTACTAATGGCGGTCAACACACTTGAGCACTCGACTTGGACAATTGGTGCAGCACGTGTCAATTTCGCACTGATGAGTAATGTACCCCATATCCCTTATTACGACTAATGTTGACTTATTTCGAACGGTAATTGACAGCATCCCCTTGGAATAGTGAAGATCCAAAATGCTGGACCAAAGTTTGACTATCCATTGATTCAATTTCACCGAATTTACAGAAATCGTAATATGAATGATGAATAAACAAAAATGAGAGAAAATCCACGACATCAAGGTTTTGGTAGTGTTCTTGTCTACGAAACAAAGACATAGCCCTTGTCCGATTCTTTGACAACCCCCCTCCCTCCAAAACACCGTGACCACAATCCCTCAGGCCGCGACAGCAGCAGACGCCGCATGTCTCTTCTGTGTCATTCAGCCCAATGGAAGGGCATACCTGCTTAGGTCTGTTCACGCCATAACGACACGGAATCACGCAGCAGACTAAGCGAAAAATATGGTCGGCTGATGGTCGGTTTCAGACAACCGAACCAGCAGGTCTGATTCGACGCGACGCTCNGGTCTAATTCGAGCGCGACGCTCTTTATTTGAAACAGCTGGAAAACCTCGTTTTTGGATGAGAAATAGGACATATACCAACTACCAACTTTCTTCTGCAACTTGTGTAAGAAGTTGGAATTATGGTGCGAACCTGTTTGTCAAAAATAAGGCCCGCCGGTGGCCCCGACACAGTGCATAAATCTGATACTTTGTGGAAAGCTTTGTCAATAGTAAATGTTAGATCTAGTGTGCCTTTATTTTAAGCTACTAACGCGTCAAATTCGCTGCATCGAGGCAGTCGTAGTACTACTTCTTCGATCCAGATGTCTCGTTTGACATATGTTAAAGTTAAGTTACAACTGATGGAATATTGAGTGTGAATGGTAGTTCCGACTGCTAGTGGCTGACCTTGACATCCGGCTAGTTTTATAAATGGATTCGCTACCGAGAGCGTGCGTTCGATCTGTATCGTAAGATTATCACCGTCGTTCATGCAAGGCTAAGTTTAGAGAAGGTAGGCTTTCTAAAGCAGCGAAAGGAAGACCAAACATCATAAAGCTGGAGTAGTTCCGTGGGCAATGCACCATAATGACTGCTTTAGGAGTTCGTTTCTTGTGGATATCGTAAACGAGAAATTCAGTTGAATCTCCAGTGAAAACCAAATTGATATGCAAATAAGTGTATTTGTCGAAAAGTGTTTTTCAGTTATGTCTATCGACTCGCCTGCGGACACCTTCGCACGATTGTCCCAAAATATACCACTCAGAAGCAGATTTCAATTCCTAAGACACTTGCACTCTAGTGTCAGTTGCGGAGCGACTCACCAGCATTCAGCCCTCCTTAGAACCAAAATTGCTGGCGGTATTTCGCTGGAGACAGTAAGTGGTTTCCGACTGTGGCGGGAAATCGCGTCGAATTCTTCACACATTGGACCTACTGTCGGCACCGCAGTCATCGATCCCTCACGAACTGACGCTGACATTTTCGTGTTCTTCCGAATGGATACTCCCCAATGGTGTAAATCCCATTCCTGGTTGGCTCATAGATGAGCTCGCAGACCCATTAAGTCTGACCTCAATAAGGCCACCTACTGTGTTAGAAAGATTGTAAGTGGAGTTAGGCTTAGAGATACAGAAGAAATACAGTCAGGACGTTATTCGACCCATGAAACGAAACTTGGGGGTAACGCACAAAAAACAACATTTTGCAAGAGTCGAGTGAGAAGACCGTCAAACAATCAGTGTCATTACACGAGCACTGAAAATATACTCCAGTAGATGGTGCTCCGTCTGCGTGGGTAACAGTTTAGAGACCTATACAACTTTTCTAATTCTTGAACACACGATCGAAAATGGTTATGAACACACACTGGTACGTGCCAAGCTGGTGTCAACCTAAGAATAAAGTGATACTAGGGTAAACTCGTGTTTTCTTGTCCGAACTAACCCCGATGGGCCCGAAGCTGGACAGAATCACTACGGCACTGTTGGAGAGTTCTGATCAATCTTAACATGCCAAGGAAAGACACTTGGATATATTGGACGTCTGCCCAGCTGAGGCAACCTTTGCAATCAGTCCAAGGAAGTGAGATTCACTGGATCCTCTTTTCAGCCTTACAATAGTCTATTTTTAGAGCGTCAGCATGGGACTTTTGCTGCATATGTAAAATTTGATATATGAGCAACAGGAGGCTTAACTTATATTCGAACACCAAGCACACTCAACGAGTCCCGAACAGGTTGAAACCGGTATTTGGATTCTCTCTAACCATAACTCTGTCAGTAAAACTCTGTCAGTGAAATTTTGTTTGGAATGGACAACTTCCTAGAGAACAACTCGTGCTATGCATGTTGTAGGCCGAGTTTCCTTTTCCGAAGGCGTACGAGATTACTCACATTACAGAATACATTCTGTTGTTATATATTTTGCTGTCGAGATACATGGCTCATGACCGGTAGTTTCAGCCCTGCGTTATGCACTACAGTATTTCCACTCGCACTTGCTTCTTGGAAGAGGTTGAATGGAAATTCTGTCGCATTTCAGGTTCACCGAAGACTACTTACCTAAGTTCCATAAGGGAACAATTTCTGATGGTCGCACGGTAAAAGCATTTTCTGGGAAAGACAGAAATACATCAGACAACGTATTCTCTGCAAATAAGATCGCGTCAGCCGTTGTTTGCCCTCCTTGTTTTAGGAGACCCATCGTACCTAAACTATTTCAGTGTTTTTTTTGTGACTGTGTTTTGCACGCCTTTTAGTTTGTACCGAACCCAAGCATTTTTTACTGGCTTTATTGAATGAAATCAACTCATCTGACGCTTTCTGTTCTCCAGGAGCATCGGTGTATTAACCTACTACCTCTTGACCGGAACCAGTCCATTCTGGGCGCCAACAAAAGAACAAACTTGTGCAAACGTGTCACAACTTCTGCTTTCCTTCCCTGACGACCTTTTCCTTGATATTCCTCAGGCTGCCGTTCGTTTCATCCAACGAATTTTGGTGAAAAACCCTAAGTAAGTTTTTTTTCACCTCAGGGTCTCGCGCCTGCAGCCGTTCCGTCTGTCCAATGATATCTCTCCTATCCGTCTGACTAGACCAAGTCCTATTTGATTTTCGGGAAAATTCTCCCATTTACAGTAGTATGCAATAGGATTGTTTGATATTTCATTCTACGCAGCGGCTGATAGCAACACCACATATCACCCTTATTTGTCTACACAGCAGAGTGGTGAACAGTTTTACCATACATGTGCCTTCATCCCCATTTAGAAGGTATTCGAAGTAAATTAAAAAGTGGCGGTTTAGCGAATGCAACCGGTTTATCTTCATTACGGTCGAAGTTTATTTTTCCGGAAAGTTCTTTCCGACAATTTTCAACCCCTGAAGCAGGTTTGAACACCTCACCTTGGAATGAGGTAATTTGTCGAACCGTTGCACACGTGTTCTTTTGTTCAGGTTTCAGTTGTGTACGTACTCACGTGAATAAGACAAATGTCTACCTGAGGCGACAGTTGATGCTAGTCCACTGCTTTTTACAAAAAATATCTATGTGCTTTTTTCGACTGACAACGTACGTTGCTACTGCAACCAAGGCTAGGTATTCCTTGCATGCAGAACTGAAATCCGTATTTTTGGGCGACTTTGCCTATTTGATTCTTGCATCATTCGCTTGATGCACGTTAATTCACGGAAATGGCTGTCATCATTAAAGGACCCGTAGTGTACTCATAGTTTTGCCCCAGTTATTTCCACCGCTTACTGTAGTTAACATGCAAAGAGCCTTCTATATATGGTGTTCGGGCATAACCCTTTAGCATTGAACCCTGTACAAAAGTGCCCACGTGTATATGATCACCAGATATTATCGTAGGAAATTTATTTCGATTACGAGAGCGATACTCTTGTTTGTGGAATATCTGGAGTTTAGTAGTGGTTTTGAGGGTGTAACGAAAGGGAGCTTCCATTTGAAAGCTCCTGTTTGGACCTAATCGGAAACTCAAAAAGGCAGAACAAAACCACAAATCGACTAATCAGGTCTAATAGAATATGAACTAACTTCTTATAGCAGCCGTTCCGTCTGTCCAATGATATCTCTCCTATCCGTCTGACTAGACCAAGTCCTATTTGATTTTCGGGAAAATTCTCCCATTTACAGTAGTATGCAATAGGATTGTTTGATATTTCATTCTACGCAGCGGCTGATAGCAACACCACATATCACCCTTATTTGTCTACACAGCAGAGTGGTGAACAGTTTTACCATACATGTGCCTTCATCCCCATTTAGAAGGTATTCGAAGTAAATTAAAAAGTGGCGGTTTAGCGAATGCAACCGGTTTATCTTCATTACGGTCGAAGTTTATTTTTCCGGAAAGTTCTTTCCGACAATTTTCAACCCCTGAAGCAGGTTTGAACACCTCACCTTGGAATGAGGTAATTTGTCGAACCGTTGCACACGTGTTCTTTTGTTCAGGTTTCAGTTGTGTACGCACTCACGTGAATAAGACAAATGTCTACCTGAGGCGACAGTTGATGCTAGTCCACTGCTTTTTACAAAAAATATCTATGTGCTTTTTTCGACTGACAACGTACGTTGCTACTGCAACCAAGGCTAGGTATTCCTTGCATGCAGAACTGAAATCCGTATTTTTGGGCGACTTTGCCTATTTGATTCTTGCATCATTCGCTTGATGCACGTTAATTCACGGAAATGGCTGTCATCATTAAACGACCCGTAGTGTACTCATAGTTTTGCCCCAGTTATTTCCACCGCTTACTGTAGTTAACATGCAAAGAGCCTTCTATATATGGTGTTCGGGCATAACCCTTTAGCATTGAACCCTGTACAAAAGTGCCCACGTGTATATGATCACCAGATATTATCGTAGGAAATTTATTTCGATTACGAGAGCGATACTCTTGTTTGTGGAATATCTGGAGTTTAGTAGTGGTTTTGAGGGTGTAACGAAAGGGAGCTTCCATTTGAAAGCTCCTGTTTGGACCTAATCGGAAACTCAAAAAGGCAGAACAAAACCACAAATCGACTAATCAGGTCTAATAGAATATGAACTAACTTCTTATATTAGCGAAATACACTCATTCGCATACCGATTCGGTTTTGACGGTAGACTCAACTGTAACCCAACTGAATTCTTCGTTTATGATGTTTTTTGGCTTCTTATATCTTCCGCTCAACTTGATTCATGCCTCTTTCCTCGAACGCAAGGTTCAATGAGAGTTCTTCCAGTTGCACTGTTCCGGTTTCGCTGCTTCTGATGTTTCCACGTAGAGAACCGACCTTACCGTGCTGTGACGGTTTGTGTGCCTGTGTGACCTATTGGACTATAGTGGGAGGTGTCCGCAGGATCCCCCATGTTAGTTAATATTCAGTGGTCTGACCAACAGATTCTCTTAGGCCTACAGGTTTCGGGTTGGAACATCTGTTCTATAGAAACGATAATGCACCCGCATTATCCGCCAAACACCTCTGTCTTGCCGTTAGGCTTTTGAGCCAGAGGCTCTAGTCGAAGAGCCTAATATTCCTCCTCTTAAGGTTTGAGTTCCATGTGTCCAACCCACGCACAGCCATGATTCCTACAGCCAGAAGTAATCTATGCAACGCCAACCGTCGCATGGTGTCATCAGTTGGGTCGTCTTACTTGCCGCACACAACAGGACGGATAAGTGAAAATAGACTACTAATGACGTCTGTCTTCTTCCCCTTTCACGTACTTATTTTTCCCACTTTTCCTACCCCAATTATACCTCTCTCTTTGTAAGCGCATGAATCAGGAGTGACGACTCCGCTAGTGTTGGATCGGTTTTGGCCGCCAATTCGGCGCCCAGCCTATTTGGCAGCTAATTTCGCTTTCAATGACCAATTAAGGTTGTTGAAAGAGAGCAGACAAGGAAATCAACAGTAGAATCACGTAGAACTGGGCCTAAAAGGGGAGGAGGTGGTGTGTTCGACTTGTCCAGTCACTAGTGGTTAGAAAACCGGCTTGCATTGGTGGTACGCACACAGTCACATAGTTGAGGCGGATTCCTGGAGAGAACAGTTAGCAATTCGGAAGGTTGCATCATGTACAATGGCGTGATCGCAGCTGTAAACACAAGAAAGGATGTTCGTGTATTTTTTCGCTTTTTATAAAGGGAGGGAACGTATTAGTGAACAATTTCGGGGATCCTGATGTAACTTGCGATGTAGATGGTAACGTTGGGATTTTCAGCGAAAATCGTACTGTTATTGGAGATGCGATAATCCCAGGGATAGGAACTGGAAGAATATTCCATACTATCCAGGTCAGTAAGCAAGTAGTGCGAAAAACCCGAGTAATGGGACAGACTAACATAATGCCCAGAAGGGCCAACGAAGGCAGTATCCGCTGAATATAAGGAGGGAAGAGTTGCTAGTACCAGATCCGGCGTCCGCGCTGTTCGAAATTCCGGTTGGAGAAGAAACTACTTGAAATAAAGTTTTGTGGATGGCGAAATCTTTCGCCTCGCTGGGAAGGAAGAAAGCTAGCCAGTATCAGTTGTGGACATTGAAATCACCGGTGATACTAACTGTAGCAGCGTGAGTCAGCCTGTAGATGTGTTCGCCGCTCTCACGTAGTGGAATGAAATTTGAGTCGGTTCGTTGCCATCGTGCGACGGACACACAGCAATAATATTTATTCTTAGGGCAGCAGCTCTTTGTAGTCAAACTTACTGAGAATCATGTAAAGGACGACAATAAAGAGAGTGAGAGGAGACTAGATGTACGCTAACGCCTCATCCTTCAGACGGGAACAATCATGTAAGCAGCAGTCAGAAGTTTGGAGATGTATCTGATTGCTGTTTCTGATTACTCGTGTTTATTCGGGCAAGCCGTACGTTCTAGTCTTTTGAAAGGATACGGGACCAACGGTTTTGTTTTTCAACCTTGTCCATTCATTGTTTCTGGTGAATTTCGTGCGTTATTTACGTTCAGCGTTTAGCTTTCTCCCGGTTTAGGCTCATACACTACGCCACACTCTCCACAACGGGCTTTACTGGCAGTTTGTCTAACCATCTGGCGGGTGGATGTCTTAGGGTCATCCAGTTCCGATAAGATGGCTAGCATCTTCCGCGTTCCCGTCTGTCTACTGGCTTCTTCAACGAATGAAGCAGGATAGCCGTTTTCCTTTGATGAGTAGCTTTGTCGAAACAGACAGTTTTCTCTATTTATCAATGATTTTGCAGCAGCTTTTTGGTGTTAACTGGACAACACAGGAAGTTTCAGTATCCGCCAGAGTAGATCAGTTTGCAAAATACAGTCTTGAAATTCGACCATGTGCTGAACACTTTTAGTCTCATACAGGATAGGCACTAACAAAAGATGATGAAATCCAATTCGCGTCGTATGATCACAAAAATGTTGTCAACATAACGTTATCAAACACACAGCGGACATTAAATTTTTTCAATGCCCCAGACCTTAGCTGTTCCAAAGTGTACCATGGTTGAGGCGATTAAGGAAATTACGGTCCGTTTGTACAACATGAGTTGTAGCGTGAACGATTTCCCGGGTGATCTTCTGCAATAAGGTGCGTCGTGAGTTTGAGCATCACACTGGTGTCCAACTAGGGCGCTCAGTATTCGAAAGTTATGACGTGTCCCTGATGGACTAAAGTAATCGGACAATTGAATTGAGAGTACCAGTCTAAACTTTCGAGCCCTATTTGGGCATCCTGGGGTCTCAGCGGTGCTGAAAAATTATCCCACAAGAATTTTCAGCCAGAGGGACGGTTGCTTCGGTGAACAAAGAAATTTGGTGAGCTGCAAAAATATGGACGTAGATCAGGACGGTTTTTGGTTTGAGCACATACGCAACAAAAGGCAACATTTTGGCGTAGAAAGCTTTACTCCACTTTTTTTCGAGAATTACACTCATTTGCAAATCAATTTGGTTTTCACGAGAGACTCAACTGGATCTCTCGTTTATGATATTCTACTCCACTTGTAAATGCTTTGCAGCTGAGAGCATTGTGCG